CACTTTTGAGGGTCTAAACATGCCCGAAAACTCATGAAAATTTGCACACACACCAAACCCGGTGTAAATAGCAGGTTGATATGGGTCTCGGCAGTCTGCGTGGCAAAATGACTCGACAGCGCCACCTAGAAAAATTAAACGGACGAGCCCCCGATATATGAATCACGCACATGCACGAAAATCGGCACACACCTCAAACATGCCAAAACATACGAAAAAGTCTCTTGGAGCCATATCTCAAACCCAACAGGAAGTCAGATATTTTTAACTTCCTGCGGCGAAAAAGTGGCGTTTTTGCCATTTCCAGGCGTTGTATTTTAACGAACTCCTCCTAGGAATTTTATCCGATCGACACCAAAATTGGGTTTTGTCATCTAAACGCCTTGGCGATGTTAAATTGCGAAGCTTTAGAGTTTTCGTCGATGGGCGTGTCCGTGGCGGCCTCGCAAACTTTGACGATTCGCCACAAAACAGGAAGTCGTTATAACTCAGGCATGCATTATCTGATCTGTCTCAAAATTCACACGCTTGATAAGCGTCCTGACCTGAACACGTTTACATGCCACTATCCAGATACAGTTACAGCGCCACCTGCTGGCCACAGGAAATTACATGATTTACGGAGTTATAAACTCCTCCCACAAATTTTATCATATCAACACCAAAATTGAGTGGTGTTATCTGAAAGCTCTACCAATGATATATTGTGAAGATCTAGAGTTTTTGCAGAGGGGCGTGTCCGTGGCGACATGACAAACCTCAACGCTTCGCCATGGAACAGGAATTCCTTATAACTCAACCACACAATGTCTGATCTGCCTGAAACTTCACATGATTGATAAAAGTCCTCTCCTGAACACATCCACATAACAATATTGAGTCAGTCATAGCGCCACCTGCTGGCAGAAGGTAGTTTGGCTTGTAACTCAGCCACACAATGTCCCATGTGCCTGAAACTTCACGAGGGGGGATAAGACTCTTTTTACTGAAGGCATTTACATAAAAAATCTTTAGTCCCAATTTAAAGCGCCACCTGCTGACAGGAGGAAGTTCGGCATAAATCGGGGATTTTCTCCGGTTATTTATATGTATCGGCTTGAATTAATGTAGTTCGTGTATCTCTGTCATCCTGAGGCCCCCGGGCGGCGGTGAGCCCGGGTGCGAGGTCCCTATCATCGCTGTGAGCAGCTTTAATTATTAGGGACCGAGCACCGAAACGGTGCGTAGGCCCTATTGGAATTGCTCCGTTTTTTATTATTATTATTATTATTATTCCGCCCCCTATCGGGGCACTTTTGAGGGTCTAAACATGCCCGAAAACTCATGAAAATTTGCACACACACCAAACGCGGTGTAAATAGCAGGTTGATATGGGTCTCGGAAGTGGGCGTGGCAAAATGGCTCGACAGCGCCACCTAGAAAAATTAAACGGATAAGCCCCCGATACACGAATCACGCACATGCACGAAAATTGGCACACACCTCAAACATGCCAAACCATACGAAAAAGTCTCTTGGAGCCATATCTCAAACCCAACAGGAAGTCGGATATTTTTAACTTCCTGCGGCGAAAAAGTGGCATTTTTGCCATTTCCAGGCGTTGTATTTTAACGAACTCCTCCTAGGGATTTTATCCGATCAACACCAAAATTAGGTTTTGTCATCTAAAGGCCTTGGCGATGTTAAATTGCGAAGCTTTAGAGTTTTCGTCGATGGGCGTGTCCGTGGCGGCCTCGCAAACTTTGACGATTCGCAACAAAACAGGAAGTCGATATAACTCAGGCATGCATTATCCGATCTGCCTCAAAAGTCACACGCTTCATAAGAGTCCTGACCTGAACACGTTTACATGCCGATATCCAGATATAGTTATAGCGCCACCTGCTGGCCACAGGAAATGACATGATTTACGGAGTAACAAACTCCTCCCACAAATTTTTTCGTATCAGCACCAAATTTGTTTGGTGTTATCTGAAAGCTCTACCAATGATATATTGTGAAGATCTAGAGTTTTCGCGGAGGGGCGTGTCCGTTGCGGCATGATAAACCTCAACGCTTCGCCATGGAACAGGAAGTCCTTATAACTCAACCACACAATGTCTGATCTGCCTGAAACTTCACATGGTTGATAAAAGTCCTCTCATGAACACATCCTCATAACAATATTGAAGTGGGCGTGGCAAAATGACTCCACAGCGCCACCTATAAAAATAAACGGACGAGCCCCTGATCTACGAATCACGCACATGCACGAAAATTGGCACACACCTCAAACATGGCAAAACATACGAAAAAGTCTCTTGGAGCCATATCTCAAACCCAACAGGAAGTCGGATATTTTTAACTTCCTGCAGCAAAAAAGTGGCATTTTTGCCATTTCCAGGCGTTGTATTTTAACGAACTCCTCCTAGGGATTTTATCCGATCTACACCAAAATTGGGTTTTGTCATCTAAAGGCCTTGGCGATGTTAAATTGCGAAGCTTTAGAGTTTTCATCGATGGGCGTGTCCGTGGCGGCCTCACAAACTTTGATGATTCGCCACAAAACCGGAAGTCATTATAACTCAGGCATGCATTATCAGATCTGCCACGAAATTCACACCTCTGATAACATTCCTGACCTGAACACGTTTACATGCAGATATCCAGATACAGTTAAAGCGCCACCTGCTGGCCACAGGAAATGACATGTTTTACACTGTAATAAACTCCTTCTACAAACTTTATCGTATCAGCACCAAATTTGAGGGGTGTCATTTCAAAGCTCTAGCGATGATATATTGTGAAGATCTAGAGTTTTCGGAGAAAGGCGTGTCCATGGCGGCATGACAAACCTCAACGCTTCGCCATGGAACAGGAAGTCGTTATAACTCAACCACACAATGTCTCACCAGCCTGAAACTTCACATGGTTGATAAAAGTCCTCTCCTGAACACATCCACATAACAATATTGAGTCAGTCATAGCGCCACCAGCTGGCAGAAGTTAGTTTGGCTCATAACTCAGCCACACAATGTCTGATCTGCCTGAAACTTCACATGGTTGATTAAAATCCTCTCCTGAACACATCTACATGCCAATGTTGAGTCACAGTCATAGCGCCACCTACTGGCAACAAGAAATTACTTATAACTCAGCCAAACAATGTCCGATCTGCCTGAAAATTCACATGGTTGATAAGATTCCTCTCCTGAACAGATCTACATGCCAATATTGAGTCTGTCATAGCGCCACCTGCTGGCAAAAGGTAGTTTGGCTTATAACTCAGCCACACAATGCCTGATCTGTCTGAAACTTCACATGGTTGATAAGATTCCTGCATTGAAGGCATCTACATACCAATATTGAGTCACAGTCATAGCGCCACCCGCTGACAGGAGGAAGTTTGGCATAAATCTGTGATTTTCTCAGGTTTTTTATATATATCGGCTTAAATTATTATTGTTCGCTGTTTTCTGTCATACTGTGGCCACCGGGCGGTGGTGAGCCCGGGTGCGAGGTCCCTATCATCGCTGCTTGCAGCTTTAATTTTTCTTGTAATTGCATAAAGAGAATGGACATGCCCACATTTACTTGTATAGACACTTTTAATTTAGATTCTTTATTACAAAGCAATATTTTAAAATATACTTTTCTTGTAAATGCTCAAAGAAATGGAAAAAGAAAGGGATTAAGAAAAATGTTTGCTTCGTAAATAAAAACCTGAATTATAAGTAACAAAAATATAAAACTTTCAATAACAAAGTAATTTTTTTTTTTACATTTTAATTACTTTTAAATCAGGTTTTTATTTACGAAGTAAAAATGTAAAAATGCACACTTGTAATTGCACAAAGAAAATAGACTCCATATTTAATTAAAGACGCCCATATTTAATTACGCAGGTTAAATGTCCATTTTCTTTGAACAATTACAAGTTTGCATTTTTACATTTTCGTTTTGTAAATTAATCCTGAACTAAAAGTAATGAAAATGTAAAAATTATTTAAAAATTGCACAAATAAAATGCCCATATTTACTTGGAAAATTAGCACCGAAATTAAAAGTAGCTATGCAATTACAAAAGCGTGTGTCTGTTTTCTTTGCGCAATTCCAAGTGTGCAATTTTACAGTTTTTGTTTTGTCAATAAAAACCAGCATTCAAAGTAAGGAAAATGTCAAAAGTTTCCTTATTTTTCTTGTAATTGTTCAAAGAAAACAGACACGCCCATATCTACTTGCATAGTAAATAAGAAACTGAATTAATAGTAACTGTCAGTAAATATGGGTGTGTCCATTTACTTTGCGCAATTGCAGTATTTTTGCTTTTCATTTTCGCTTTGTAATTTAAACCTGAACTTAAAGTAACAAACATGTACAAAAAGTTGAAAAATGTTTTTAAAAAATGTCCAAATAAAATGGACACACCCATTTATACTTGCGTAGTAAATAAGAACCTAAATTAAAAGTAGCCATGCAAGTACAAATGGGTGTCCATTTCTCTTGTGCAATTACAAGATTTCTTTTTTACATTTTCACTTTGTAAATTAAACCTGAACTAAGTGATGAAAACATAAAAAAAATATGTTTTTTAAAGTTTACAAAAATTGCATAAATAAAATGGACACATTCAGATCTACTTACATAGTTACTTTTAATTAAGGTTCTTATTTACTATCTATCTTAGTGAATATGGGCGTGTCCATTTTCTTTGCGCAATTACGAGTGTGCATTTTCATATTTTCGCTTCGTTAAAAAAAAACTGCATTAAAAGTGACAAAAATGTAAATACTTTTACTTTTCTCTTGTAATTGTGCAAAGAAAATAGACACGCGCATATTAACTTACATAGTAAATAAGAACCTAAATTAAAAGTAGCTATGTCAGTACAAATAGGTGTCCATTTCCTTTGTGCAACAGCAAGATTTTATTGATTTTTTTTTTTACATTTTCACTTTTTAAATTAAACTTCAACTATGTAATGAAAACGTAAAAAATGTACCCAAAATGTTTTTAAAAAATTGCACAAATAAAATGGTACATAGTAAATAATAACCTGAATTAAAACTATGTAAGTAAATATAGGTGTGTCCACTTTCTTTGTGCAGTTACAAGTGTGCATTTTTTTCACTTTGTAAATAAAAACCTGCAGTAAAAGTAATGAAAATGTAAAAAAACTCCCTTGTTTTCTTGTAATTGCGCAAAGAAAATGGACACACCATATATATATACACACATATAGAGTAAATAAGAACCTGAATTAAAAGTAACTATAGTAAATATGGGCGCTTCCGTTTTCTTTGCGCAATTACTAATTTTTTTATTTACATGAAGTTTGCATTTTCTACCCGTGTTTGCGTGGGTTTACTTTGGGTGCTTCGGTTTCCCCTAGAGTCCAAAGACTTGCGGCACAGGTGAATTGAATAAGCTACATTGGCAAGAGTGTGCAAGAGTGTTTGTTTCCCACTGTTGGGTTGCAGTTGGAAGGGCATCCGCTGCGTAAAACATGTGCTCGATAAGTTGGTGTTTATTTTGCTGAGGTGACCCCTGATTAATAAATGGACTAAGCCAAAAAGAAAATGAATAAATGAATGAATGAATAAAATTAAACCTGAACTAAAAGTAACAGAAAAAAAAAATTGCACAAATAAAATGGACACGCCCATATTTACTTGCATAGTTACTTTTAATTCAGGTTCTTATTTGCGAAAAAAAAAAAAAATCTATGACTTTAATTTTTTTTTCTGTAATTGCACACAATGGACACATATTTATTTATAGTTACATTTATTTAAATACTTATTTAATTAGCAAACAATCTAAATATTTTTGTGATTGTGCAAAGAGAATGGAACATGAGGGTTAAAGTGATGACTGCATTCTGAGATTGTGATTAAAATGTGAGGAAAATGCTATGTTTTATGAGTCACCTCAATGAGGGGTCCATCTGACTGGATGATTTTGATCACAACCACCATCGGTATGCAGATCATGGAGGCGAGAGCGAGGGTCCAGCCCACTCCAATGGACCAGTCTGGATACTCGTAGATTTTGTTGTATCTCAGGGGTGCATATTTGACCAATGAGAAGATAAAGCATCCCTGCAGAGGAAGGCAAAACAGGCATCAATCCAAGATACAGTATGAGAAAACTGATTCATATGTAGCAAAGTGGCAGCCCGATGTAACACAATGATAAATTTGATCAAAATTGTATGCAAAAATGTCCAGATTAGATAAAAAAAAATTATAAATGCTATTCAATTATAAATATAATACTACACTATGCAATGATATGTGTAATAAACAATGTTATGTTAATTACTAGAATAATTTAATCAATACACACTTGTGATATTTTATAATAATAAAACATGGTGATAAAAATTATTATGATTATTTGCTATATGAAACTACAACTAAATTATAATAAATATTATTTGATTAGTATTATTAGTTGTAATAATGTGTTATTAACAATTTAAACTAAAGCAAAGGCAAATAAATGCTCTTTGTTAAAAATAGGTAATAAATAACAGATAAATTAAATAATATGTTTTGTTTAAATTATTAAGAAATCTATTAAAATAATAATAATAATAATAATAGTAATAATAATAAAATAATAATAATGAAATAAAGCATGTATTTACATATTATTCTTTGCTTATTATTATTATTATTATTATTATAGATATACATATCTTAATAGGGTCATTACTAATTTATACAAATTATTTGGTTTTTAATTGTAATAATGTGTTATTTATTAACTATTTTTAATCAAAGCAAAGGCAAATAAATAGGCAAATAAATGGAATTTCTTAAAAATAGTTAAGAAATAACACGACTGATAATAAAAATCTAATAACATTTTTGGTTTAAATTATTAATAACTTCATTCAAATATTTATAATAGTAATATTATTATTATTATTATTATTATTATTATTATTATTAATAATAATAATAATAATAATAATAATATAAGCAAAGAATAATAGGCAAATAAATGTTATTTCTTAAAAATTGTTGAAATAATGAAAATATTGACTAATAATAAAAAAATCGAATAATATGTTTGGTTTAAATTATCAATTAATCTATTAAAATATTTATATTTTTAAAAATAATCAAATAAGCTAAGAAAAATGGGCAAATAAATGCTATATTTCATTACTATTATTAATAATAATGATTATAATGAATAAAAATGTCTTAAAATAAGCTTAATGTCTCTTTGTAATTTTTTTTCCCTTTCCTTATCATTTTAAGGAGAATTATGACCTAGGCCCACTTGGTGGATAGGGTATATGTAGAAGCATGCGGAAGGACTTTTAATTTGTCAGTAACCTAGGTCAAACACTTCCAGTATCCTGCATGCCGTTACAAAATTGGCGGGCTTTAGGTCTGTTTTCTTTAAAAATCAACAATCATCACTGCCTAAATGCTATACACTATAAAGTGTGTCTCAGAATGTGCAAGAAGCACTGCATTAAATTACATTTTTCCAAGCCATGTCTTTAAAATATTTTACTTCAGTATTTCCAATGGCGTTTCTGCGCTCATCTGCTGATCCTGACGGACGCGTGTATGTAAACGGCTTTTTAAACTCGGTTTGTGCTTCAACAAGTAAATCAATGCTGAAGTCTATTGAACTGATTATATTTTAATTACAACATTGATGCTTTAAAAGGAACTGTATAAAATTGAAAAAGTCTTAATCTTAAAAAAATAAAAAATAAATAAATCACTCAACAATCCAGCAAGTTTCTAAACTGACCAAACAGGTTAATCCGCTGCACAAGACACAATTCATTCAAAGTGAGCTACTGTAAAAAGCCTCCTCAGACTGCAAAAGCTCCCCGACAGTAAGGAAAGGATTACCCATTCCCTATAGCCCTATGATGTTCACCGAAAAAAAAAAAAAAAAACAACATTCATGATCTGATGGAAACTAATCCTGCGCTCCTTCCATTGAGTGTGTGGGTCGGGCAGATGGTCACCCCATCTGGAGCTCTTACACTGAAACTGACAGATTTTAGCAGCAAATCCAAAGCGGAAAAGCTGCATTTGCATGTTTAGTGATGGGGGAGAGGATCGAAAAGCACACAGGCGCATACTGAACTACGTAAAATAGTTTTTTGTTGGATATCAGTGTTTAATTTTAGCCATCGTACAACATGGTTAGCAGGATGAGCGATATTGTGTAGCTTGTGATTATAGTGGTCAAAATTATTCCCATGATAAGAATTACTCTAATAATAACAATAAAACCAAAGAACAATTTTGGTCAAAAAGTTGTTTTCATAATTGAAAATCGAAACTAAGATTACAACTATTAGCCAATTTTTACGTATGTTTTTATTATTATATGAGCTGAAATAATTTTGGAAACTAGTAAAACTTTTTCATATGAAAAACTGAATAAAACAAACAACAGTTATAGAAAAACTGGCTGAAATTATTAAATAATTAGCCAAAATAAATTAAAGTAAAATCGTTTTGAGAACTAAGGCTATGTTTACATGGCATCGGTGTAGTCAAAAACAGGAAAAAAAAAATACAAAACATTTTCAAAATTATCCACATTTACAAATAGCCAAAAACAAAATACTTAAGAACTAATGCTGTTTACATGACATCAATGTAGTCATAAAGTGGAATGATCTGCGTTCACACACACAAGGTCAAAAACGATGCATTACGAATACACCATTATTTGCTGCCGTCACCTTTTTGGTAAACAGTAGCTGTAGGAAATTATCGAAGTGCTGTCAGTGGCTCTGCACTTGTGTTTTTGAGTAATTCACCATTTGTGTACGATGCATCTCTGCCCTTTACTTGCAAGACTTTCGTTTTCGAGTGTTCACAGACACGACAATGGCAAAGTTGAAAAAAAACCCTACATTTTAAAACTAGTTTTTTAAACGCATGTGTTTTCAGTCCCAAAACAACATTGTCAAGTGAATGAACAGACAAAGTATATAAAAAGTTTGCCATTTTTGCCTGAAAACATTCCTTTTGTAAACAGCTCCGAACATTCACTTGTCCTGTGGTAAAAAGAAATCTAACTTGGGGCTGTTTTTATAGAAAAGCATTGTAGATAATTTGCACTGTTTCTTTGTTGGCCAAATAAGCTTATTTATCAATAAACAGTACTCAGCATATATATAAACAGCCCTTACAAATGATCTTTTAAATTAATATTATTCATAGGAAGCTATACAATATTATATTTGTGCATTTACATTAGATTAGTCAGTACTGAAACCAATTCTGGAGCTTATCTAACAAAATAACTTACGATGAAGGTCTAAAACTAGCACATCCAAATTTATGTTATAGAAAAAAATTAAATAAAAATGTTCAAAAGAAGGGAAAAAACAAATCAAGAGAAGCAAAAGGAGAAAAAAATTGTTGAAATTTTGTAGGATGTGATTTTTTTTTTTGCAATATTTTGCTTGAATTTAATTGTATTATCTTTCAATTTCTAAATATGGTTAATGACTAAAATTTAATTTTAAAAAATATATCCGTTTAATAAATCTACTTTGTTCAAATTTACTAAAATATATAACCTATATTTACTGAGAAATAAATTATGCTGAGCCCTGCATTATCTATTCACAAATACACAAATGTCAATTTTTACTTTTGAGTAGTTTTGCTTCATAACTGGGCGTTTACATCGGACATGTCTTGAACAAGTAAATCACAATATTTGTGCGTAATTAGAGGGTTGAAAATTTTGAGATTTTGAAATTGAGAAAATTTTACTGTTACTACCCAAAATTGGCCAGTTTCATTGTAAAATGACTGACGGATGGATTTTGTTTAGAAGGTAACTGTGCTTTATGTGATTTGGAAGGCTAAAAAAATGGCACGGACCCCGTCTGCGCCATTTTTGGTTTGTTAGATTGTTCAGGCTCACGCAAATTGTATATATATATTTTATTATTGTTTTTTTTTATTGCAAAATTTCTGGGAATTGACACCACAAAATCAGTCAATTTTATTGCAAAAAATAACACAAAATAATCATGAAAAACTAGGGGGTCTGATAAATAACTGTGCTTATGTGAAAGCACCATATAACCTCAATGTATTATGAGGAGCCATCAGAGGCTGACTTGGAATTTTGTGTTAATTTTTTTATCTCCAAAACATGTGACAATTGACTTGTGTGATAAAAAAAAAAAAACCAAGGACCATGAATTCAGCTAAAAATCTAAAAGTTCAACTTATTAAAATAAAAAGTCACCTACATCTTCAATGGCCTGAGGGTGATTAAAAAAACTGTAAATTTCATTTTTTGGTGAAGTATCCCTTTAATATATTTGCAGGCAATGCTAACATAACTATAAACATGAGTCTTCCAGTAAAAAAGTGCTTACCACACACAGAAAAGGTGTGACTACAGTCCAACTCCATTTCATCCAGGGGTTTGGCCTGTAACCAATCATCTCTTCAATCGCATCATAGAAATTATCAGCGCCTGTAAAAAGCAAAGAGGGAAGTCAGGTGTGAAATGCAAAGAACATTGACGTGATCCTTCGGTGGCGTTAGTAATTTGAAGAAAAAAGACGATTAGAAACCGTGGTACAGTTACGTCATTGTTTAGTGCAAACAGAGCAGTGTGTTATCAGGAAAATCCCCCATAGCCTTCAAACCTGAATCTACCCGCATGCAAGGTTTATTCCGACTCAGCAGCACAAATTATGCTTTTCCTCACATATCCACAATGCAATTATTTGTATTATTTTTAATGCTTGGTTTTCGTTAAACTAAATTGTACAACATACACTTAAATTTGACACAAAACCATTGTTGTAATAGATTAATAGTCTGTTTACATAAAGAGCCACACCTGGGAATATTTCACAATGATTCAACTCACAACAGCAATTAGTTTGTCAGGAATAAGTCATTTGATTTATTTGGCAAAGAAATGAGAAATTGTATTTGTTAGCTTGCATGTAGGCGCTTACTATTAATTACATAATACATTTCTTGTTTAACAAATTGCTGAGTGGAGGCGTTTAACATTTAAAAATAAATATATTCATAAAGAATATAAAGTACATTTTAAAGTATCTAATTTATTAGAAATCTATGGGTAACAGGGATGAGGAGTTAACTTATACTATCTGACAAAAGTGTTGTCGCATATCCAAGTTTTAGGAACAACAAATAATAAATTGACTTTTAGTTGATCCTTTAGCATTAGAAGTGGCTTATATGAAATGTCTTTAGATTATGCTTATTTTCCTAAATAAAATATGATCATGCCTTGATTTTCGATTACTAAATTAGGACAGTAAGGTCTTACTTTCCTTAGATAAAAGTCTTGTCACTTAACAGAAATAATGTACATTATAGAATAAAAAGTCATGGTGCGGTGAAAAAACAATTAATATTGTGTATGACTCCCAAAAGCTTGGACGACTGCATCCACACATCTCTGCAATGATTCAAATAACTTATTAATAAAGTCATCTGGAATGGCAAAGAAAGTGTTCTTGCAGGATTCGCAGAGTTCATCAAGATTCTTTGGATTCATCTTCAATGCCTTCTCCTTTATCTTACCACAGACATGCTCAATAATGTTTATATCTGGTGACTGGGCTGGCCAATCCTGAAGCAATTTGACTTTCTTTGCTATCAGGAACTTTGATGTGAAGGCTAAAGTATGAGAAGGAGCGCTATCCTGCTGAAGAATTTGCCCTCTCCTGTGGTTTGTAATGTAATGGGCAGCACACGTCTTGATACCTCAAAATGTACAAATTTCTGTAAGAATCTTGGGTCCATGATGGTTCAAATAGGTCTTCAGTAGTATTTGTCACGATTGGGATGCAGTTCAACAGATGATTCAGCAGAAAAATCTACATTCTGCCACTATTCCAAATAATCAACTAGAAGTCAAGCTATTATTTGTTGCTCTTATAATGGGGACCGGCAACAAGACTTCTGTCAGGTAGCGAACATTATATTAGCCACTTAGCTAGCTAGTTAATCTCTTTAAACATTTTCCACAACAAAGCAAATTAAGAAAGTGTATTTGATCTGTCTTAGAGTAATCTGTACATTATTAGTGACAAGACTTTTGTCTAAGCAAATTGAGACCTTACTGTCCTAATAAAATAATTAAAAAAATCAAGGCATGATCATATTTTATTTTGGTAACATAAGCGTAATCAAGAGGCCTTTGCCTTTCATACTGTATAAGCCACTTTTAACTTTTAACACTTTTAACACTTCATCACCAGAACCCCTTCTTCTCATCACATCACCCCTGTCCTGCAGCAGCTTCATTGGTTACCTGTTCATTTTCGAATTGACTTTAAAATCTTAATGTTAACATTCAAAGCCATCCACAATCTCGCCCCTCCATATTTGTCTGCCCTCATCCACATTTCTGTTCCTTCTCGCACCCTGCGATCTTCTTCCTCCCTCCACTTGTCTGTTCCCTCTTCTCGCCTTTCAACAATGGGCAACAGAGCATTCAGCCGCTCTGTTCCGCGGCTTTGGAACTCATTACCAGTGGCGCAAAAAGGGGGTATGCAGTATATGCGGTGCATAGGGGCGCCACACATGGGGGGCGCCATTGTGCCAAAACTATTTTTG